AAACACGGCAGATCTGTTCTCTTCAATGATTGTGTCTAGGTCTGATAGTTACTAGTGTTGGACTAGGGGCAGAGTGAGGAGCCACCAGAGCAGAAACCACCCCCTGCCTCCGCAGGTCGCCTTGCCCTGGAGTTGGGGAGCTACTGCTTCCTGCAGGATAACCATGGAGGTGAAGGTCCTGGTCTCAGGAAGCTCAAAGGAGCTGTGTAAACCGGTCCTTTTCTGATGGATGCTTTCAGCACCCGCGCCCCACCCCTGCCACGTTTGTTTCCTTGGGAAGAATATATTGCATATAATCAACATCGGACACAAGAATGGAATACTTTCTTCAGTTGTTTGAATGTGTTATTTTCTTTTAATGTCCCTGCGTGAATTGAAGGATGGGGGTGAGGAACGCAGCCGTTCTGGTGCTGAAGCGGAGCATGTGTGGCAGCTTCCCATTCCTGGAGCCCTGGCTCATCTGTGTCTCGAGGCACAAAGAAAAGGATCTGGGGAACTTGGGATTAGAAGGTGGCGTCCCCGGCACGTGCTGGGAGACGTTTAACAGCTGGCTCTCCGGAAGAAAAAACTAAAGCCCTGACTCACCGTGTTTGTCAGTTTGCATGGTGTAAAGAGCCCCACCGTGGCTCATTTCCAATGACCAATGACTCAACAATTGGCTCTCCTGAGCTCCTGTGAGCCAGCTGGGGCACCCCCCCACCCCCCCACCCCCCCACCCCCCCACCCCCCCAGGACAGTCCACGTTCACAGGGAAGAGACTAGCAGCTACACCTGTGAGTCTAAGCTGAGCGTTTCAAGGATTTCCCAGGAGGAAAGAAAAAAAAAGGAAGCAAAACAGAACTTCTAACTCTTTACAAAAGTGGTAGCTGTTAAGGAAAATTCTCCAGCTTGAGAGAAAAGTGAAAGTATATATCCCACAGTGTTTGTGAAGATAGCTAAGCCATATATGATATACTCTGTGCTTTGAGCAAATACATCAAATAGGTCATGGAAATGGATCATCAGCAGAATGAAAGAGAAAAGGATCACTTTAAAATACAGTTTGATATTGAAAAAGAAACTACAACCAAGAATTAGTGTTCATCAGGGGTTCCTGGCTGGCTCTGTTGGTAGAGCATGGGACTCTTGATCTTGGGATTGTGAGTTTGAGCCCCATGTTGGGTGTAGAGATGACTTAAATAAATAAATAAAATTTAAAAAATTAGTGTTTATCAAAGGATATCACATAAAACTTAAAAAAAAGGCAAGACGTGAACATCTTTGGTGGAGGACATTATTTTGTCTATTCCGCTGATACACTCTGTTAAGGTTTTCTTGACTTAAGTTTTACAAAATGTATTCTTATGATGCTGGATATAGTAATTATTTTTAAAACCAGCAATATTGTAAATAGTACATGAAATGTGTCCTCAAAAGATGCCCACAAATGTTCTCACCTGGATACTAAACAAGTAGTTCATATTGAAAAGAGAAATGTGAAGAGTAAGAATAAAAGGAACTCATGCAGATTGAAATCCAGATAAAGTTTTGTTTAACTCAATGGGGGCCTTTAGATGCAGAAGATGACACGGTCAATATTCCATCTGCTCATGAACCCACGTTGGCCCTTTCTGTTCCCCGTGGTACGTTTTGAGCTCCTCAAGGCCTTCTTTCTCCCAGTGCTATCCAGTAGAATTCCAGGGCTTGGGCTAGGGATAACTGCAGGACCTGCTACCTGCTGCGGACGGAGTGCTGCCCAGGTGAAGAGAAAGTTCCCTCCTCTCTTGCACAGCTGCAAGCACTCCAGCTTGCTTTCTGCATCACAAACACTGTCCTGCCCACAGTTCTTTCTTTTTTTTTTTTTTAAAGATTTTATTTATTTATTTGACAGAGAGAGACACAGCGAGAGAGGGAACACAAGCAGGGGAGTGGGAGAGGGAGAAGCAGGCCTCCCGCCCAGCAGGGAGCCCGATGTGGGGCTGGATCCCAGGACCCTGGGATCACGACCTGAGCCGAAGGCAGACGCTTAACGACTGAGCCAAGCAGGTGCCCCCCCACAGTTCTTTCTAACAAAGGGATCTTCAGAGACACCCAGAAATAACACTTTCAAACACGTGAAAGAATGTTGCTGTGTCCTGAAAATTTCAACCGGGATCTTTATTTTGTTTTTTAATTTTTAAAAGATTTTATTTATTTATTTGACAGAGAGAGAGCACAGTAGGCAGAACTGCAGGCAGAGGGAGACGGAGAAGCAGGCTCCCCGCCCAGCAGAGAGCCCAATGAGGGGCTCCATCCAGGACCCCGCGACCATGACCTGAGCTGAAGGCAGCTGCCCAACCGACTGAGCCACCCGGGAGCCCCTAAACCAGGATCTTTAAAGATAGAACTTTGCTTGGTAATCTTACTTATTCAAGTGTTCATGATGTGTGGCCTCCGTAACAATTTATTAAATAATCTTCCTGTCTCCCGCAATGTATAAAGTACTATGAGTTGTCTTGGCTAAGCCAGAAGAGTTCAGTGTATTAAGTACTTTCCAAGTGCTCAGAACATATTTGCATCATTTGAATGACCAAATTTTTCTTTCGTATACATGCAAATCTCGCAGGTAGGTAACGTTACGTTATTCTTCTCATTTGAAATTCATGAAACTGTTGATCATTCTTTCTGCTGGCCCTCTGAGTCTGGGCCCTAGGCCTCCCATCCTCGCTTGATCACGGTACGCTGTGGGGCGTCTTTTCTAACTTTGGTTTCTGGCTCTTCATAGGCTTGGTGTTCCTCTCATCCACTTAAATTCATGTAACAGAGAAAAGGGAGGTCTCTGAGGCCTCTCCACAGCCTGGTCACACGGGGCTATTAGAGGAGGGGGACCGTCTCAGGTCTTCTGGAAACCAGGTCACTTCTGAGAGGGAAAGGGCTTCTCACTACTAACAAAGTTGGCACAATAGGCCCAACAGACACAGTCTCTGGAGTCCGGGACACAGCGACTCATGGCAGACTTCGGGAGATCTCTCCAAAGCCTGGAGATCTGATACCACCATGCCAACATCTTTCTTTGGCAGGAGACACAAGGGAAATCGCTCCCTGTCCCTCCTGTTTATTGTTCTAAGCTTGGCCCTGCAGGGAGCTCAGTGTCTCTTCCAGAAAGAGAGACTACATGACGGAACAAAGGAAGAGACCATGCCTTGCTTGCCCAAGCCCCTGAGAGGAGTTCCTCGTGGGTCTAGAAAGTGTCCTCGTGCACTCTCTGTAATGTTTCTATCAAAGAAGGGAATGACTGGAATGCTGTCTGAAAGTGGGGAGGGCTTTCCAGCACGGAATGGCCCCAAGGGAGTAAAAGAATTGTCACAGGATGGGATCACTGGCCCAGGAGTTCTGCCCTGGGGAGCCTGGAGGAGGGGCATGGGCATCACATGGCCTCCCCTGGGAAGCAGCCCCCAAACTCCCTTTCACCACTGGCTCTGGAGGGTTGACACTTGCCCTTCTCCCCACATGTCTACTCCTAGGACCAAGGGAGCCAAAGCAGCTCAGGGTCCCAGACTGGGCAGACCTCAGTGACCCCACCTTTTCCAGGGAATGATTTGTGTGGGGAATGTCCAAATGCTGCTCAGCATTGCCCTGGATAAGAACCACAGGGACAGAGGGAACCTTTGACAGTTGTCTGCCCTACACCTCTCATCTCATTGTACCTACAGGAATTCAAATAAGACCCAGCCTCCCCTTTACAATGTCCTACCCATAACTCCTCTAGTCTTGTGACAATTCAGAAGTCCGCCTCCTGCTTCTGCTCTGGGTTCCTGGTGGAGCTCGCGTCCTGCCTCCTTCCTGGCTACTACTTAGCATCTTCCAACCTCTGGGCTGTCCAGTCTCCATGATTTGCTTGCATCAGCCCTGGAGGCACTTGTCTTGCATCTGAAATGCCTGCTCATTTTGCTTGTCTCCAGGATGCACCCCAGGCCACACCCCTGAGCTAGCACTCCCTGGGCTGGGCCTTCCTGGCCCTCCTTCCTTAGGCTTCCAGCCCGGGGCCCCAGGTCAGTGTGACACGGACCAGGTCAGTCCTCTGGACCCCCCATCATTGCTACCACAGCACACATGCACCATCCTCTCTTCTCCAGGGAAATCCGATGACCTCTAAACTTCCCCTTTCACAAACAGGGGTAGGGAAGGGGTAGGTGAGTGGACGAGGGCCTCCATCCCACTGATACCGTCTGCATGCAATTTCTTCCCACCATAATCCTCCTAAACTCACCTAGTAAAGCCCAGTCCTGCTTTTCCAACTGAAACAGCTGTTCTGTATGTTCGCAACCTCCCAGATTTCTTGCGCTGCATCCAACTTTCTCTGCATCCTTCCTGAATCTGCTATTCTCATAATTTAGCAGCCAGTGGGCGATTTCCTGATCATTTTTAGGATATATTATTTCTCCGTGACATTGTAGCAAATGTCTACAAAGAAATTCAATGTTCCTGGACCAGCGTGTCCTCCATTAAAGCCTGCCATTAGGAGCTCCCCCAGCAATTGATCATGAATACACTCCAGTCTGAAGGACTCCCTTTTCCAGCGTCCAGGCCACCCCACTGGGTGCTGGAAGCTTTATTTTCCTGGTTGTTGGTCCTTCCAGTCCTTGTCCTACTCCCTGGCGTCCCAGCTTTATCCTTATCTTTTCCTTCAATGGAGACTGTTTGTTCTTCCATTGGCCTTGTATGGTCTCATTCTTTAGACAATCAAATCCCTTTTCTAATATTGATCACTCTTCACACCCATTGTCCATACATTACTGTGTGATGAAGGAACCCTTTCCTCACCAAGAGTGAGACTGAAAACAGGCAGAAAACCCCACGTTTGCTACATTCCCAGAAGCTGCCCGATTGCACAACCTGGGAAATTAGATGGACATGAAGAAAGAGGCCGATATTCTGGATGCTGTGTTCTGGCCAAGGGGAATTTCCCAAATCTCAGTGTTTTGCTTCAAACCTGGCTTCCCCTTCATTCCCCTAGCAAAGCGTCAGTATATATACTGTGGGCACCCCTAGCAGGCAGGAGGGGCAGGCAGCTCAGCTTCACCAGGAGCCTCCTTGGGAAGCAATAGCCAAAGGTGAGGTACTAGAACTTTCCAACACGATTTCTCTTTGCAGACTCCCGTTCCCCACGGCATTCCTGCGCTATGTCCCAGCTCTCTGCTTCCTTCCTGCATCTCCTAGCCTGACAATTAGGATTCAGCAGATGTGAATACTTTCTGGGACTGGGATTTAGTCGTGCACTTCCTCGGTGAGAGCTCAGGGATGGGTAGAGCAGGCATTTTGCAAAGGTTTGTGCATTGTTTCACTCATCTCATTCGACAGACTGGTATATGGTCACAAAATGCCCAGATGCTTCTTTGGAAGCTTTCTGTACAGTGGGTGTCAGGGCCCACAGGTGATGCCTGAAAGGGAAAGTGGTTTATATTAGAAGCGCAGTGCAGTCTCTCATACTGGGATTCCAATGAGACAAGTGGAAACGGACACGTGGACCCTCTGGAATTCTCTCTATGTATCTACGTATCACCTGCCTAATATATTTATATGCACTGTCTACTTCTTTCTACATATAATACATACACATATATGTACATACACGGGTATATATGTACACATATGTGTGTGTGTGTATATGTGTATAGATCTACAGATATAGATACTATTGAGTGTGGCTTAGTTTTGGAATACAAGAACGGGTCAACATTAGTCCCCGAAAAAACCAATCCAAAGCAAAACTAAACAGCTATCATCTTTGTGTGTCTCTTTGACTCTGCAGCAGGATGAAGCTTTTCCTGGGCATCCTCTTGTGCTCCCTGGTCCTGGGCGTCAGCAGCCAAAGGTGGTTAACCTTCCTCAGGGAAGCTGGTCAAGGTAAGGCCCAAAGCATGGGGGTCAGGGGGAGGCCGCACCTGGCCTCCCTCCAGGATTCCCCAGAGCAGAGGCCACATCCACACAGGGCAAAGGCCGCAGGTGGGACGTGAAGAAGCATGGTTTTCAAGATAGCAGTTTCCCAGGCTTTCTATTTCTTGATTTTTTAAGTGAACTGTATCTGACATATAACGTCGTGTATGTTTAAGGTGTATGTCGTGTTAATTTGATGCATCCCTATATTCAATCTGATTGCCTTTGTAGCTATAATTAGCACCTCTCTCATGTTACATAATTTCCCTTTCCTTTTAGTCATTGAAATACTTCAATTCTAGGCTATAGCACGTTTGATAATTATGATACAATATTGTTTGGTGCTCATTATACTGTGCCTTAAGTCTCTAGGGCTTACTTACTGCATGTGGCTTTTCCCCTTAAACCACAGGTGTCCTATCCTTCCACCCCTGGCTTTTCTGGGCGGCAGTGCACTCTTCCATGGAGATCCCCAGGCTGGAGGTCACATAAAGTTTGGGCCCCAACTTGCAGCAGGAGCAGGAAGAGATAGATGTGGGGTCCACGGTACCTGCTCCCTTCTTACAAGTGGGAGTCGAGTGCCGCCTAGTGGGAAGGCAGGGACAGCTCATGGCTGGGTCTCAGGCAGCCAGGAAGGGGTGCCTCAAACTTGTGCACTTAGTCATCCCATCCAAGATGAACGGAGCTTGGCCCGTGCTAGGCACTGTTCTAAGAGCTTCACGTGGATGAATGAACTGGTTTTCATCCTCAGGTTTTAATCTGTGATCCTGCGATGTAGGCACCATCACCCCTTAACAGAGAACCTGAGGCACAAAGAGATGAAGCGTCTGACAAAGTCCTCAAGCAGAGCAGGGTTCACCCCAGTGGTGGAGCCCCCCCAGACTTTGCTAGGACAGGACTGTCCTGCCTCCCACAGCAGAGAGCGCATGGCCGACTGCGGGGTTTGGGAACACACAACCCTCTTGTTTATCTGAGTGAATGGCAGAGAGTCAGGCTGTGGGAGAGGCGGAAGGCCACTCTGCAGAGCTCCTCTCCCCGCAACGAAAGGCACAAGGATTCCATGATGCAGGTTCTGCGGGCCTGAGACCTGGCTGCGCAGGAGAGCAAGAGACATGCGCCTCAGTAGTCAGACTCAGCGGCAAGATTTGTGTATTTCACAAAATCATTTCTTTTCTTTTTCTTTTTCTGTGAGAGTCACTGATGACTGTTTTAAGAGTTTGCTGTCAATCCTTTCTAAATTCTCACAGGCACCACTACAAATGTGTTTCCATCTTTAGGTCAAGGTTTTCCAAAGGGTTGTTCTAGGACCGCGTGCATGAGAATCGCCTGGGGTTTGGGGTGCTTTGTGAAATGCAGATGCTGGGAGCACACACCCCCCTCTGCTGAATCATCATTTCGGGGCTGAGCCTGAAATCTGGCCTTTACCAAGCACCCCAGTGGCTTTTTGTGCCCACTCAAGCTTGGGAACCACTGCCTCCACTTTTGCCCCCACAAGGGACCAGTATGTCAGGCATTTTGGAAGGACTTCGTAAGCAAGGGGCCTCCAGCCATCTATTTAAATCTGTAACTTGGAGGGAGTAGGTACAGTAAGAATGCTCTTTCTAAACACCAGAAATAATAAATGCAGAAAATGGACATAAGGGATCGCATGGATATTAAACTAGGATTACAACTTGACAGTAGATTTTTCTCTTTTGCTTATTAAGTTACTTTTTGAAAGTCTTCATCTTATTGTAGCCTGATCGGATTCCTTCAATCAGTAACTCTCTGATCTTCCTCTGAGCCTAGTCCCTTTACTGTTTTTGTCCCAGCCTTCCTAAGGCTCAGAGAAGTGATAGCATAGTGAGCACCTACAACCTTCTAGAAGTTACACGTGTATTTTCTCAGTTTGTCTGCATAACCACTCTGTAGAGGGCAATACTCTTCAGTTTCCTGGGGAGAACACTGAACTTTAGAGCTGGGGTAGTTGCCCTTTTTCTGCATTTGATGACCCCATTTCTGTGAAGCTCTCTTAGGAGAATTCACCTTTATCACCTGATGATTGAGTTCTGACAGTCTCCTGGTGCCACATATGCCCCAGACATTCGGATGTACACAGAACTGAGCTGTCTTCACGCTGCCCACAGCGCTGAATCGCTCCCCTTGACTAGGTTGGGAGCCCTCTGGGTCAGCAGCCTCCCTCAGACTTGCCTTTGTCCTCACGCCCCAGTCAGAGGGTTCCCTGCCCTTTCCAGGTAGAGTTTCATTGCACAACGAAGCATCCCTTAAAGACCATCCCCCTCTTGTTCATACACATCACACACAGCCAAACACCAAGTAGTAACAGTACTTAGAATGGAATCAAAGAGAATAAAACTTGCACCCGGTGTGATTCTCCTAACATTAACCCAGGGGAGTGAAAAGTAAAGGAATATGTATCTCAGCCAGTATAATCTCAAAGGTTTTTGTCAAAAGACTGAAATCTTAGAATCGTTGGGAGGAAAACTTTTCTCTGTTTTGCCAAGAGATGATCACTTTCATTTTCTTTCCTTTCCAGGGGCTAGAGACATGATGAGAGCTTACTCTGACATGAGAGAAGCCAATTACAAAAATTCAGACAAATATTTCCATGCCCGGGGGAACTATGATGCTGCACAAAGGGGCCCTGGGGGTGCCTGGGCTGCTAAAGTGATCAGGTAACATAGCTCCTGGGGTTGGAGGGATGGGTGAGCTGAGCATGCCAAGCTGTGATTTCCACCCTCCTCCATGGGTGCTGGTTCCCCAGCACAAGGGGATCTGCCAGGCTGAGTTGGGCTGTACCCAGAAATGATCAGTGTTTTAGCGTCTCTAAACTTGGCCTCTTGTAGATTCATTCGTTTCTTGGTAAGAGGAGAAATAGGAAGGGTGGAGGTGTTGTTCATCAGCCCCTGATTAATCCCTTACCTGCTTTCCTCTATTCTAGCGATGCCAGAGAGAATTCTCAGAGAGTCACAGACCTTTTTAAGTTTGGAGACAGTGGCCACGGAGTGGAGGACTCAAAGGCTGACCAGGCTGCCAATGAATGGGGCCGGAGTGGCAAAGACCCCAACCATTTCCGACCTCCTGGCCTGCCTGAGAAGTACTGAGCTGCCCCTTGGCTCTGCCATTGGGAGATGGGCTGTGAGACCCCTGCAGGCAGGAACAGTTGCTGAGTTAGAGTTACTGAATTCTATATCCTTCCTACTTAGTACTTTATAAAGAGCACATAAAAAATGTTTAATAAATGCTTGTGAAATTCAATTTGTTGTTGTTGTCATCTGGAAACAGCTAATGACAATCTTCCTGGGTACTTTTAATACCAGGGACATGATCAACTTACCTTAACATTTTTCTTCAAAGGAGATAAGGCACTAATAAAGTATAATACTAATTTGGGGTAAAAGTATGTTCCATGATAAGGACCATACTATTTAGACTATATATGGACCATACATGTCAGACCCTGGGACAGAGAGAGATCTAAACCCTAGTTCTCAACAGGATAGTGCTGTAGGCACCTCCATCCCCATCCCAGCTGTTGGATACATCTGGGCATACTTTTGGTTGACACAGTGATTGCAGGGCATTTGGTGTATGGACCAGAGGTACACACAGCTTACAATTTATGAGACAGTGCTGCAAACAAAGGGTCATCCTGAATCTTGCTTGACTTTTGCAGTATCCTATCAGACATGTATTTAGGCAGAATCAGATTTACTGCAAAACTGAATGAAGCTTAAGCTTCAAGAACTCCTCACTTATATGCGACCATTCCAAGATCCTCGGAGAGGCCTTGGGAAAGGATTCATATGGTCAATTATTTTTGTAAAATGTGCAGAAGCAAAATATTTTAACCAAGGCAGTTAATGCCTCTGACTGTTCATGCCAACATTCCGCCATTACTTTTCTGCTTGTGTTGAGTGGCACTGGGGTGGGCACAGGTATTTTGGTGACCTGACTAAGGAGAAGTTGAATTGGGGATATGATTGGTTTGCACTTAGTGGGACATATTTGTGTCATTTGCAGTCATTTCCAAGTATAATTAAGTTATTGATCGTTATCCTGGAGTAGGAATGGCCTCTACGTATGTATTCTCCTACCATCTACTGTGGTTACTCCCGGTGCAGTAGGAAAGATCATATGGCAAAATGAACATGTCCTATACAGCCCAGCACAGAGCATGTGGGTATTTGGGAAGAAACAACTTTGAAAGTCAAACATGAGTCAATGGAGAATTGTAAGATCATATGTGTAAGATTTTTATTTTGATGGAATCCTAGTCAAAATGGAAGTTCTCCCCCAGAGAGAGGTTTTCCAAATTTGACAGTGGTCAAACTTTATAGGATATTACCAATAACAAGTTGTAAAGTTGAAAGAAACTTCCCTAAACCACCAATAATAATTTTTTAAAAATCAAACAACCATGCTAAAGACAGAATTATCTTTTTATTTTCATTATAGAAAATGATCTTACAAGGTCATTGTCATAAAATGAAGATCAAAGTGAACTCAGAAAAATTATATTAAAATTAAAATTATATTAAAAATATTATATTAAAACAGAGGATTTTTCGGGCAGTAAAGGTAGTCTGCATGATACAATAATGGTGGATATATGTCATTAGAAATTTGCCGAAACCCATAGAATGTACAAAACCAAGAGAGAACCCTAACATAAACTCAGGGTGATAATGATGTGCCAGTGTGGGTTCATCAATTTTATCGGATATCCTGTTCTAGTGGGGAATGCTAATAATGGGGGAAGCTATGCATGGAAGCAGGTATGAATTATATGGGAAATTTCTGTACCTTCTGCTCAATATTGCTGTGAAACTAGAATTGCTCTAAAAATAAATTCTATTAGAAGAAAGAAAAAGGATTGCTGAAGTGTGTCAGGCTGTTTATTTTTTAATTTTTTTATTTTTTTGTGGAGCAGGCGATTCTTTTTTTTTTTTTTTTATTCATGAGAGAGAGAGAGAGAGAGGCAGAGGCAGAGGGAGAAGCAGGCTCCCCGTGGAGCAGGGAGCCCGATGCGGGACTCGATCCCAGGACCCTGGGATCATGACCTGAACCGAAGGCAGACGCTTAACCGACTGAGCCACCCAGGTGTCCCCAGGCTGTTTATTAATAAAAATATTTATATATTTTTCTGTATTTTGTGATGTTTTACATATTTGTTGGCTATTTAAAATTGATATGTTTTCGCCATTCTAAAGAAATATTTCCTATTGTTAACTAATTTAATATTTGTAATTTTGTATTGTTTTTCCTAAAGGGGGCTCCCCAAATTGCATAATTCAGGCCTTATAAAACCTGGGTCTGCCCCTTTGCATACAGTGAAAAAAAATGTTCATAATTATTTAAGCCTGGAATCCAACTGTGTTTTACATATTAACAGAGTATTCTTTTTCCAGTTTTAATATAGCTTAAAATTTTCTGAAAATGCAATTGCTTTGTAAATTGAAACTTTGTTTTGGTAGAAATTTTACCATCCTCTATTTATGATTTTGAGAAGCACAGCCCCTGATGGAATCACACCTCTCTTACTCTGTATTGTAACTGTTGGGTTCACAGTGATCTGATGTGTATGTGCTAACATTGGAGACCTCTATTATGTCTTCTAGTACTTGAGATATTAAAATACGTATCATTTTATTTTAAATTAATTCTATTTCTTCTTTCTGTTAGGGAGCCATATTACTATTTTTGAAATTAATGTTAAGGTAGATAATATCATCTATAAATCTCTTTCATCAAAGTAAAGTAGGTGTGGCAAAATATTTGTTGTGGGGTGGGGGAGGAGCACTGGGTCTGAGGTTGAGTACCATTAAACTAAACAGAAGCAGGAACTGAAAATACAGGGAGTTGTAATCTTGACGATATTGACGTTCTTCCTGGTGACTTATGTCTTTCCGAGGATCCAACCACACCTGGGAAAAGAAAGAGCGCCTGCTGATGCTTTTAAGGATGCCAAACGTGCCCAGAGATCAGGGGTCCGACAGCTTCGAAATGTACATCTGCACCAGAGACACTGTCCCCGACTCCCTGTCCTTTCAGTCAGGCTAAGAGCCCCTAAGGAGATGGAATATCTGGTCCAGGGAGAGTGACCAATAACAGTTGTGAATATGGTCGTGCTTGGGTCCTAGATAGGGTTGGGTAAGGGGAGATCAAGTCATCTGGGATCCCAAGCCTGAGGGCGCATAGAACGGGTGTTCAGGCCGGCAGGCTCCGGGCAGTAGGGGGCGCTGTGGCGGGCGCCGCGTCGGGCGCGCCGGCCCCTCTGGCGCCAGGAGGTTTATCGCCTCCTCCGGCGGCTTCCGGCGCGGCTTCTATGAGCGGGTGGCGACGAAGTCATGGACCGCAACCCTTCGCCGCCGCTGCCGAGTCGGGACCAGGACGAGGAGGAGGGCGCCGGGGGTGACTGCATAGGAAGCACGGTCTACAGCAAACACTGGCTCTTCGGCGTCCTCAGCGGGCTCATCCAGGTGTGGAAAGTCGCGCCCCGCGTGGGCTCTCCCGCATTGCCCCAGCCCCCTGGTCACGCCTCTGGCAGCCCCCTCCAACACCCCCTCCCCGACCACCCTTGTCGAGGCATCGCGCTTAGCGTCCTGGCCGCCTCCACGGACCCCAAAACTGCGGGGAGCCACTTCCCGGTACCCCTCAACACAGAGGGAGGTAGAGTGGCAGGGATGCTGGAATGCTTACGGTTAGAATATTTTACTTTTGCATATTTTCCGAAAATGTCTGACCGTGTAAATACATTGCTCGGCTTTTTGCTCCCCGTTCCCACTGTCGTTTCTGAACCTCAGGGCCTAATTTATTTCGTGGACTTTTGTTGTAGTAGAATAAATGGTGATTTTGGAGTCCTGCAGCTCTGATACGAAAGCGTGGCTTCATCACCTGCTTTGGGCAAGTTACCGAACCGCTCAGAGCCTCGCTTTCTTTCTCAATTTCTATAAACTGCGTTACCTATGTTATTGTATATCGGGTTATTGTGTAGGTTAGATAAGATTATAATGGGCATAGAGTGCTTACCATGGTGTTTGGCTTATAGGAGCTCTCAATAAATGTGAACTTTCTTCTCCCACGTTTCCCGGACTTACCTACTTTCAGTCTCTGTTCTCTCCAGTGCAGCTACTACATAGTTGCGGGAATATTCGTCCTTAGACAAACAGACAAACCAAAAAAAGCAAGCTGTCCTTGGGAACTCATTTTGGTTCTCTTTGCCTGCAGGAGAAAAATGCATATTTCTTAGTCTGGCATCCAGGGCTCCTTGCAACCTTCCCAGCCTCATCTGCCCAAGACACACTCAACCACTCACCATTCCCCAGACCTTACTAGGCCCTTTCTTAACTCTGAACTCTTGAACTTTCTTAGGTATGTTCTTCTCCCATTCTTCACATGACAAACTCCTGTTCTCCCTCAAAGATTTAGCTTAAAGATGACCTCCTAGGAGAAGTTTGCCCACCTTTTCCAGGCATAGGTCATTGGTCCATCGTTTTTGCTTTCACTACTCTGTCCATAGTTCATTTGTATCACTCAGCCTTTTCTGTTGTGATAATTAGTTTACATGTGTTTCCCCCTGTAGATCCTTAACTGCTTGAAAGCAAGGGGTTAAATATATTCATCTCTGTATTTCGACCCCAGTGCCTAGTAACAGTATTTACTCTGTGAATGTGAATGAATAGATCTACCCAGGGTAGTAATTTTTTTAAAAAAGGTTTCTGCAGGAGAAGATACTTTGAGGAAAGTGTCTTTGTGACTTGTGAATGATGATGGGATGATATTACATGATAAGTACTATGGACTGCTTTTGTCATCACTTTTCTTCCTTTCTGTTGAAGATTGTTAGCCCTGAAAATACCAAATCCAGCTCAGATGATGAGCAGCAGATGGAGCTTGATGAAGAAATGGAGAATGAAATTTGCAGAGTATGGGATATGTCAATGGACGAGGTATGGGGTTGGAAATGAAACTGAGAAGACTGTTGGGTAGGGAGGTGGTGAATGGATTTTTTTTTTTTTTTTTTTTTAAGTTTCAGTCCTTACGGCTCTGGGAAAATACGTTAGTGTCTGTAATCACTCATATGGGTATAGGGAGTGAGCTTAAATGCTAAACTTTTGTTTCTGAGCCTAGAGGATCTGAGCTGTCATTAGATTTGGTCTAAATATATAGTTCTCATGAATGCAAGAATGCTTGTAGCCCAGGAAAGTTCTGATACTTACCTGCTTTAGAGAATGCTGACCTTGTGTTTGAGAGCAGGTTAGAAGTTAGGAGACCACTGATGTACCACGATTAAATTAGAAGGGGACAAGAAGGACCTATGTGTATATAATTGCAAAATAATATTTTACGTTTGTATTGTACTCTGTAGCTTAACAGCGGCAGGTATTATTCCATTTGCTTTTCACAATAACCCTGTGATACAGGTAGTACCCTTATTTTACAGATAAGAAAAGACATGAAAAGAGATTGACATACAGGGCGCCTATGTGGCTCAGTCGGTTAAGCGACTGCCTTCGGCTCAGGTCATGATCCTGGAGTCCCGAGATCAAGTCCCGCATCGGGCTCCCTGCTCCTTGGGAGCCTGCTTCTCTCTCTCTCTCTCTCTCTCTCTGTCTCTCATGAACAAATAAATAAAAATAAATAAAATCTTTAAAAAATAAAAAAAAAATAAAAAAAAAGATTGACATACATAATCTTTCACTTAATGACTTGGACTTCTGCAGTAGCTTCCTGATTAAAATCCTTGTTTTAGTCTTTCACTTCCTTTCTGTCCTCCACATTGTCACGGAAGTTCTCTTTTTCCTAAAACACAGACTTAATTGTATTCTTTTCTTCTGTCTTAAAAGTTGTCCATGGCTATTCATTGGCTTCGGCTGTTTTTTGATACAGTTTTATTGAGGTATAATTCATACCAAAAAAGCTGTGTATTCTTGAGGTGTGATTGGTGTACAGAAACTACACATATTTAAATTGCACAGGGCGCCTGGGTGGCTCAGATGGTTAAGCATCTGCCTTCGGCTCAGGTCATGATCCCAGGGTCCTGGGATCGAGTCCCGCATCGGGCTTCCCGCTCCTTGGGAGCCTGCTTCTCCCTCTGTTTCTCTCTGTCTCTCATGAATAAATAAATAAAATCTTTAAAAATAAATAAATAAATAAATAAATTGCACAATTTGAAAATTTTTGTGTGTGTATACGCACATGAAGCCGTCACTGTAATCCTGAAAGAGAACATCTCTCTCACCTCAAAAGTTTCCTTATGCCTGTTCGTATCCCTTCCTCTTGCCCCTCCCTGCCTGCAACCTCTCCAGACAACCACCGGATCGCCCTTCTGTCACTTCAGAGTCGTTTGCATTGTCTAGTTTTATATAAATGAGATCGTATTCTTTTTTTGGAGGGGTCCGGCTCTTTCACTCAACATCATTGTTTTAAGATTCATGCATGTTGTGTCTATTAGTAGTTTATTATTTTTTTATTGCTGAGTGACACTTCATTGTATGTGTATATCATGATTTATTCATTTATTCCTCTGTTGGTGGATATTTGAGTTGTTCATGGTTTATTAAAGTTAACACTGAATCTTTGTGTATAATTATGTATGGACTTATGTGTTCCTTTCTCTCGGGTAAATACCTAGAGTGGTATTGGGTCATATGGTAGGTGTATGTTTTTGTTTTTGTTTTTTTTTTATGTTTAATTTTTAAGAAACAGTCTGAATTGTGTTTTTTACAGGTTGTGTAAAAAATTGTGTATTTTCCAAAGTGGTTTTTACATTTTACATTACCATAAGCGGTGTATGAGATACAGGTCCAGTTTCTCCTCATCCTTGCCAATACTTGGTATGGTCAGCCTTTTGATTTTAGTCATTGTAATAAGTGTGTAGTGATTCTCCTTGTGATTGTAATTTGGATTTCCCTAATTACTAACAGTGTTGACCATGTTTTTATGTGTTTATTTGCAATCTGTATATCTTTTTTTGGTGCTTGTTCAGATCTTTTGCCCACTTTTTGTGTTGTTTTCTTAGTTTTTTTTTCTATAAGTTTTATAATTTTAAGTTTTACTGGTAGATCTGTAATCCATTTTGAGTTAATTTTTGTGTGTGATGCAAGGTATGAATTGAAGTTCACTTTTTCTGCATATGGATGGATGTCCAGTTATTCAAGCTCAATTTTTAAAAAGACTGTCCTTTCTCCACTGAATTGCCTTTGTATCTTTATCAAAAATCAGTTATTCTGTATGTGTGAGTCTATTTCTGGACTCTTATTTTGTTCCATTGATCTATTTGTCCATCTTTATGATTGTTTTAATTACCGTACATTTATAAGAAATCTTGAAATCAGGTAGTGTTAATCTTCCAACTTTGTTGTTTCTTAGAGTTGTTTTGGTTGTCCGGAATCCTTTGTATTTCCATATTAATTTTAGAAGTCGATTTGTCACTTTCTTTAAAATGCCTGCTAGGCTTTTGACTGAGATTGAGTTGAATTTATAGATCATTTGGGGAAAGAATTGATAAATTGAACAAGGTATATCTTTCCATTTATTTAGATCCTCTCTAATTTGTTTCAGCAAAGTTTTGTAGTTTTTAGTGTATAGGTATTTCACATCTTTTGTCAGATTTATTCCTATTTCATACTTTTCCATGCTATTAAAAATGGCATTTTTAAAAAATTTCAATATCTGTTCATTGCTAGTATATAGAAATTCAGTTGATTTTGTACATTTTACATCCTGTAGCTGTATTTCATTTATAAAGGAAACGTTTGACTACTTTTTCAATTTGAATTGCTTTTATTTCTTTTTCTTGCACATTTGCTGTCTCCAGTATGATGTTGATTAGAAAAGTGGTGAGAGGGGCATCTTCTTGTTCTTAATTGAGCGGCAGAACGTCTGGTCTTCCACCATTAATGTGATGTAACTGCAGATTGAGAAAGTTCCATTCTGTCTCTAGTATGCCTAGAGTCTTTATCAGGAATGGATTTTGTATTTTGTCATACTTTTGCTAAGTCAGTTGAGATGATCATGTGGCTTCTTTTTAGTTTGTTAATATGATGAACTAAGTTGACTGATTTTTGAGGTGCTAAAATCTTGTTTAGAAATTCTATCTAATTTCATGAGAGATAATTCATTTTCTTTTTTTTTTTTTTAAGATTTTATTTATTTATTTGACAGAGAGAGAGATAGCGAGAACAGGAATACAAGCAGGGGGAGTGGGAGTGGGAGAGGGAGAAGCAGGCTTCCAGCCAAGCAGGGAGCCCGATGTGGGGCTCGATCCCAGGACCCTGGGATCATGACCTGAGCTGAAGGCAGACGCTTAACGACTGAGCCACCCAGGCGCCCGATAATTCATTTTCTTGTCATTATCTGGTTTTGGTACCAGGTAATGCTGTCCTCATTGATTGGGAACTTTTCCCTCTTCATTTTTCAGGAAGAGTTTGTACAGAATTAATATTTCTTCCTTAAATATTTGGTGGAATTCACCAGTGAAGCCATCGGAGCTTGGAGTTTTCTTTCTGGGAAGATTTTTTTTTTGTTTTTTGCTTGTTTACTTTTAGTTTTGTGTATTTATTACTCTTAAGAAATAATAGTTTTATTGAGATATAACTTCCTACCATAAAATTCACCATTTAGTGGTTTTTGGTGCAAAAGATTATAAATTCAATTCCTTTACTAGGTATAAGTAAGGCTATTCAGGTTACTTTGGTAGTGTATGTTCTTCAGGGAATTTATCCATTTTATCTAAGTTGTCAAATTTATTGGCATAAAGTTCTTCATAATATTATGTTATTTTTCTGGGTGCCTGGGTGGCTCAGATGGTTAAGCGTCTGCCTTCGGCTCAGGTCATGGTCCCGGAGTCCTGGGATCGAGTCCTGCATCAGGCTCCCCGCTCTGCGGGAAGTCTGCTTCTCCCTCTGCCCCTCTCTCTCTCTCTCTCATGAATAAATAAATAAAATCTTTAAAAAAAAATATTATGTTATTTTCCTTTAATTATCTGTAGAATCTGTAGTGATGGCACTTCTCTCATTCCTGATATTTGTAATTTGTAACTTCTGTCTTTTTTCCCCTCATCATTCTGGCTAGAAGTTTAATTTGTTGATCTTCATAAAGAACCAGCCCTTGGTTTTGTTCATTTTCTCTGTTGCTTTACTGTTTTCTATTTCATTGATTTCCATTTTGATCTCTATTATTTTCCTCCTCCTATTCACTCTGGTTTAATTTGCTTTTTTTAAATATAGACATGTAACACTATAAATTTTCAACTATTGCTTTGGCAGTATCCCACAGACTCTGATATGTTGGGTTTCCTCTCATTTAGTTTAGTTCTAATTTTCCTTTCATTCTTCTTTGGCTAATGAGTTATTTAGCGGTACATTGTTTAGATTTCAAATATTTGGGAGTTTTTCAGTTATCTTTCTGTTACTGAAGTCTGTGAACACTGAATCCTTTTAAAAATATATTTAGACTTGTTCTAGAATGTGATTTATCTTGGAAATTTTCCATGTTCACTGAAAAAAATGTGTATTCTGCTGTTTGCTGGGTGGTGTCCTATATATGTCAATTAGATCAAGTTGGTTGATCTTTCAAGTCTTTTTCTACTTGTTTTACAATTATTGAGAAGCTATGATTTAAAAAAAAATTTTTTTTTAAGGAACTAGAACCCATTTTTAAAATGAAATCTTAATGTGAAATCCTCAAATATGAAATAGGTAAAACAGAGCTGCTGTGTGAATAAGATTGTTGGTGGAAGGCAGGGTCATGTTTTTGGCCTCCTTTTCACCTTCTTAGGGTAGCTCTTGAAGCACCTCTAGAGAACTGAGATGTCCACTGATTACTGGTGTAAAGTCCTTCCAGGCTTATCTCCTACCACTGATGTTTGAGCAGGACCAGAGACTTCAGATGCTTTCTGCATTTTCATGTGTTCGTGCTCCGTTCATGTCCCTGTCTGCCTGGAATGGCCTCCAGCCAGCAAAATCTTTCTCATCTTTTACGGCCCAGCCCAAATGTCACCTTCTCTGTGATGCCTCCTCAGACACTCCAAGCAGAATTCATCTCTTCTGTGCTCTCATGAAATGTGTTCACTCTGTTGCATAACACTTATCTAGTTATTCAGCCTTTGTGTCCTCCGATAGATTTAAGTTCCTTCTCTTAAAAGCTTAATGTCACCTCTTCAGAGGTACCTTCTCTATCTGAAGTAGGCCTCCCCACATCTTGGCTTCTGGCACATACTATCTTGTCTCTCTTCCTTGTAGCACTTAGATAAGTTGTTTATGGGTTTATTGTTTGCTCATCCCTCTAGAATAAAAATTCCATGAGACTGGGACCTTATCTAGCTTGTTCACTGATGTGTCCCCCCAGAGCCTCAAACAGTGCCTGTTACTTGGGTTTTGCAGTAAATACTTGGTGAAGAGTGAATGAATGAATGCATGAGTGACTGAATGAATAGCTGAGGGGTAGCATGGTGTTCTGATTAAGAGCATGTCCATGAGTCAGACTCATCTGGGTTCTGTTCTCCTGGCTTTGTTCTACTGATTGTATAGTCTTTGGCAGGTTGCTTAACCTTTTAAAACTTCTGTTTATTAGCGGAATGGGACTAATAATAATAACTACTTTATAAGGATCTTTTGAGAATTAAATAAGATAGTATGCAAACCACTTCACTGTGTTAATGACCACTTGCTCAATAAATGTTAATTGCCGTTATTATTATTATTGGTGTTGATATTGTTAGACTACCTAACCCTGTGCTGCCCTAGGAATTACTAACTATCGTTTAAATAAATCACTCTTCTGCGTGCCCTAAGAGTTGCCAACATGACAAACAGCACTCTGAACACTTCAAGTGGGGAGCATCTGTTGCTGTGACATTCAGTTTGGAGTGTATCTTTGAAAATACTGTTTTCTCTGATTGTGCTCTCTTAATAATTACAGGACGTCTCTTCTAGTCAGCAGTCATGCAGGTTACCTTGGTTTCGGCTGCCATGAAGGATTACTGCCTCTGTCTTTGGGGTGCCTCCAGGGCCCTTTGAAGAGCATTTTCACTTAAGCCACACAGCTTCTGGTTTTAAGTTACGCTATTGCAAATATACACCTCAAGTTTGGTGAAAATCCGAGGCAATAGACCATCAAAAACTTCATTTTATTTAAATATTGTACAACACAGATCTCCACAGCAAACTGATTTGGTCTTGGAGCGTGCAAGATTGGATCACATGACTGCTCCGGGTTCATTCACCTGTACCCTATAGGTGCCATGGCCTGAGCGAACTCTAGGAAGGAGATAGGAAGCTGTCGCAGTTACACCATGATCAGAATTATTTTCTGTTGAGAATTTTGAAAGCGCAAGTTCTGATTTGGGGCATGACCCAGTAGGGGTTTTAACCTGTTTCCCCCATTGTGTTTTAAGATCTTAGAAGACAGGAATCATGAGTTTTACGTTTTTCTCCACCCCAGTGTCTGGCAGGATACCTGGCAACTAGCAAATATGTTTGAATGAGTTAACATTCCTGGTGGCTAGAAAGATCATTAAGGTAAATGCATTCAAGGCAGAAAAAGGAAGATATTCCTGGAGTATCACAGTTAGTTTAAATTTGTTTATGGATTTGTTCCATTGCCTTGGGACCACATAGCACAAAGACTCTCTAACATTACTTTTGTGTAATGATACAGTTCCTAACCTATGGCTTTTTTTTCTTGAGCCTGAAAGGAGGTATATATAGAATATTTTTTTTAAATGGTTGTCTGAACTATGGGGTTTAAAGAGGACTATTCAGCATCCAAATTAATAATCATTTTTTAATTTTCAGGATGTGGCTCTATTTCTCCAAGAATTCAATGCTCCTGACATATTTATGGGAGTATTGGCCAAATCCAAATGTCCTCGGTTAAGAGTAAGTATGTACATTTTTAAAGCTTCCTCTTTGGAGCAATAACAGCAGATAGTGCTAGATAGTCTTTCATTTTTCTCACTTTAATTTTCTTGCTGGCCACAAATCAGTCAGCAGATTTTTATTGAACATTGCCTGGCACTCAATAATGTCCTGTTTAAAATGATTAGAGTGGGTTGGACCAGGGAGATCAATACTTCCATTTAACCGCTGTGGGAAACAGGCATGATCAAAGTTATGTTCCTAATACGTGGCAGAACAGGGAACGTTGCCTGGACCTCCTATTTCTGTTGATTGCTCTTTTTTTTTCCCCCCATAAAATCCTCCATTGCTTAAAAACCTTCATTCTGAACTCAGCCTGACACTCAGGACTTTCCATAATCTGAATCTAATTCGTCTTTCCAGCCTAAAATCTATTGTGCAGATGGTGCTTCTAATTTAGCAAGGCCTGTCCACTCCTTGTCCCAAGCTCACTGCGTTGATCACCATCTCCATGCCTCCCTTCATAGCCCTCCATCCCTCTCAAGAGTCACATCTGTTACCCCAGGAGCTGCATTTCTTCTAAGCCTTCCCAAATAAGTAAGCTCTCAGTGGCCATTGCTGATTGTAAACTCCCTAGAGGAATTATCTCTGCTTCTCATTTAGTCTTTATCGACGCTGTGTGCAGTGGATTGTGTTTCTCTGTCATTTAGGTTGGGATGTGCTATGCATATCGTGGGTGATTAGTAAATATTAAGTAGTTATACTTACGAATAACTGCTGTTTACTCAGGATTTGGTCTTACTATTCTGTGAGATAGGAATTTATCTTCACTTTATAAATAAATGAGCTAAGTCTCTGGTTAATGTGTCCAGGGTCATACAGCTGGGAAAGAATAGAGCGGGGATTTGAGCTGAGCCGGCCTGACTTCAGTATAACCACTGCGCTGTATTACCTTTCTTTCTTTGAAATTATGAAGTGGAGAATCCTGTAGTATATTTTTACAAATTGAATGCTGAATTCAAATTTCGTTTAGGACAGTGTTCTTCCTGAATTGGGACCCGATGAACTGATGAACCGCTTTTTCCTGGGGTCATTATGTAGATAGAAAAATTTGACAGTTGATAGGATTTTTCTCCTGGATTTTTCGAACTTAAATACATTGACTCGTGATTAGTACTTAAAGGAAATAAGCTTATGTCAGTAATGGCACCTTTCAGGAATTAGTCGTATCATTATGTATGCCTATGAGCCCCAGCCTGTCTATAGCCGTGATCCTCGGCTTCGGCCACGTGTTAGAATGGAACGCGGGCTCTCCAACTTCGGCATGTCCCAGAACCACCGATTACTGGGCCACCCCTGACTTTCTGATCATATGTTTGTGGTAGGCTCGAGGATTTCTAACAAGTTCCCCAATGATGCGAGTGCTCTGGAGAAGAGCCCACATTTTGAGAAGCTTTGCCGTTGGCACCTTTTAAAAATCCTGAGTCAGGCCTTACCCAGATAAGTTGAAACAGAATTTCCAAGTGTGAGACTCCACACAACTTCTAAAGTTCCCTCAAGCTGATTCTGGCCAACAGCCAAAATGAGAAATGTCTTTGATTGGAAGTTCAGTCATTCTCCCTTTAATTTGTAAGGAAATGTATGTGTCTCTGTGCCGCTTCTGTTCTCCTTTAATCTTTTCCCAGAATTTGACAACCCTCATTTTATTGAAGCTTTCCCTTCCTACAGCTGTGGTGCCACCTCACTCTCCTGGTCTCTGACCTCTTCCTTCATTTCTCTGTCACTTTTATTGGCTTTTTTCTTTCTTCCTACACAGTGTGGACTCCTAAGCTGCAGACCCAGATCCCTTGTCCTCTTTAAATTCATTTCCTTAGTGAGCTCATCCACTCTTTATACCTTTAAGTTGCGAGTCTGTGCCTGTGGGATCAAAGCTGCGCCCTTGCTTCTGATTTCTGTTGTCACATCTTCAACATCCTTTAGGCATTCTGTACTTGCTTGCTGTATTTTCCATTCCAGAATTCCATACGTCCTGACTCAGTGAGGAACACACATACCTGGTCATAAAAATGACGTGCTGTGTTTGGTAAACACTAGTTTCCAGGCCCTACCCTGGAGATTCTGATTGAGTAGCTCTGAGATGGCACTCAGAAATCTGTATTTTTAACATGTTCCCTGCTCTAATGAGTCTTCTGTTCCAGCAAGTTTGGAAACTAACTGCCTAACTGAGTTCACTGTATCCTTTCCTACACTTTCTTTTCCCATTTTCCTGTCAGTGGGACCAATAGTTCTGACTAGAAAAAATGAAGAAACTTGAAACCTAGGAGAGGTTCAACTGCCTTCTCCTTTTGCCCCTCATCAGATTATTTTGCTTTCAGCTTGAGTCTTTCTCAACTTCCTCCCTTTCCATGCCTGCCGTCACCACCCTCATCTCTGCACCTTGATTACTGAGATGCAGTACGGCATAGTTGTTAAATGCTCAGGCTCTGGAGCTCTGCTCTTGCCTAGGCGGAGATCCTGGCAGGTTGCTTAACTGCTCTGTGCTTTAGTTCCCCCTCATCTGAAAAATGGGGATGATAACAGTACCTGCCTCATAAATTATTATATGAATAATAATATGTGGGAAGTGCTTGGAGTAGTGCCTGGGCCTAGTACGTGCTAAGTAAACATCGTCTGTTATTACTGAGGTTATTAACTTCCTTTAACATTTTCCACCATCATGCACTATGCATTTTGCTGCCAACAAAATCTTCCTAAAATAACATTGCAGTATGCTGCCCCCTTCCTTGATCTTTATGGATGCACATAACCTCCTAGATTAAATCTAATCTTTTCAGCATGGCATTCCAGTCCCTTAGTCCTGATCCTTTTTACCTGCTGTATTTATCTCATGTTATTCTCCAATTTTGTACAACAGCCAGGCTGCTCTCTTTAGGGTTCAGTGTATTAGCCATGTGCAGAAAGTCCCTTCCTGCCTTTGCTGATACTTTTCCACTTGTCCGAATGTCTTTCTTCTTGTTTGCATGTCTATATCCTACTAACCATTTAAGACTGAGTTCATCCGTAAGATTTCTTTTTCCATAACTTGTGCCTGCCTTTGATCTTTCTTTTTCTTGTGTCTTCCATCCCGTCAAATGCTGTAAACTTGTCAAGATTAGCGTACTTCTATATGCTACCTCCTCTTCTTCCCCCATGCTGACTCAGTGAAAGTTTTTTTCAAGTTGTTATTTTTGTATGTGTCTTTTATCTTCAAGACATTGTGACCTATGACCTTGACATTTGATTTGGCAGGAAATCTGTGTGGGAATTTTAGGTAATATGGCCTGTTTCCAGGAGATATGTGTGTCCATCAGCAGTGATAAAAATCTTGGGTAAGTTTTACTATATAAGAATTATGTTTTTACAAAATAAATTAATACTTCATATCCCTAAGGAAATTCTAATACATAGGAGATACAGGAACATTTTATGAAATGTAGTATTTCCTTTCTCCTGATGAATAGTCTCCAGGAGTCTCATTGTATATTGATGGTAGCTAGGGGTTTCACAGTTTTTAATGGGCATGACTGAGGATTTAGGCCTGTTTCCTTATTGGTAGCAAAAGGACAAACCTTCAGTAGGTGGTAAAGCCTGACAAGATAAGACCCCGAGGGGCGAAGCTTGGCGATGGGGCCCCTGACCAGATTCCCAAATAATTTAGGCTCAGGGAATCCAATGGCTCAGAAGAGCTAGAGTCTGGAAAAACTAGACTTAGTAACCAGGGTTACCCTGAGAAGTCTTTTTTTTTTTTTTTAAGGATTTTATTTATTTATTTGACAGAGACAGAGACAGCGAGAGCGGGAACACAAGCAGGGGGAGCGGGAGAGGGAGAAGCAGGCTTCCCGCTGAGCAGGGAGCCTAATGTGGGGCTCGATCCCAGGACTCTGGGATCATGACCTGAGCCGAAGGCAGCCACTTAACAACTGAGCCACCCAGGCGCCCCTAGCCTGAGAACTCTTGACTAAGATCAGGGGATAGGGCTTATCGACAGACTAGAAGATACAGGGTTGCCTCCGTGATTCAAAGGCTTTCATATTTTTGCTTGGAGGCTAGTTCTATTTTAAATGCAGGAAAATTTTAAGCAGACGGTTTTTTAGTGGTGGAAACCCGAGTGGTTACTTTAAGAGATCTGAGAAAACCCTGGAATTGTAAGCTAAATTTTGTGAATGTATTCATTTTTTAGGCAGAGAGTTCATGGCTGTTAATCAGAATTTCAAAGAAATTTGTGCCCACAGTAGATTAAGAAAAGTGTTCTGGGTGGTTATCCTCAGCTAGGGTTGTGAGGGTTTATCGCAGGATTTAAGTACCTGGGTCTCTAAAATAGAGGTAATTAGGGGTGCCTGGGTGGCTCAGTCGTTAAGCATCTGCCTTTGGCTCGGGTCATGATCCCAGGGTCCTGGGATCGAGCCCCGCATCGGGCTCCCTGCCCAGCGGGGAGCCTGCTTCTCCCTCTCCCACTCCCCCTGCTTGTGTTCCCTCTCTCGCTGTGTCTCTCTCTGTCAAATAAATAAATAAAATCTTTAAAAAAATAAAATAAAATAAAATAAAATAGAGGTAATTACCTCTTCTGTGTGTGGAGTGACTTTAAAATCCTAATTTAAGGTCTTTATTCCTCAGTAATTTAAGTCATTCATGGAGTAAATGACCCAGGATTATATTTGGTCTCTAATGGTCCCTATCAAAAATCTAAGAATGAGGGGCGCCTGGGTGGCTTAGTTGGTTGAGCGTCTGCCTTCGGCTCAGGTCGTGATCCTGGAGTCCTGGGATCAAGCCCCGCATCGGGCTCTCTGCTCAGCGGGGAGCCTGCTTCTCCCTCTCCCACTCCCCCTGCTTGTGTTCCCTCTCTCGCTGTGTCTCTCTCTGTCAAATAAATAAATAAAATCTTTAAAAAAAAATTTCTAAGAATGAGTCATGTTAAAATTAATATGGAACAATTTACATTGGTGATGGGATATGAATTTGTTCAGCCACTTTAGAGAAGTTGGGCATTATTTTGTTAAACTGGAAGATGGGCAATGCAGATACTGTGATCAAACTATCCCACTGTATATAGTAAGATAAACCATGCATACGTATATCAGCTAAAAAGTATTGGAGGAGCATTGCTTGATATGGCCCCAGTTAGAATCAGCCCACATATCCATCAGCAGTAGACTGGAAAAATAAATTGTTTTATGTTCATATGATGGAATATTCTGCAGCAGTGAATTAAAGAACGATCACTATGGGAAAACAAGGATAGATTTTTTTTTTTTTTTAAAGATTTTATTTATTTATTTGACAGACAGAGACAGCGAGAGAGGGAATACAAGCAGGGGGAGTGGGAGAGGGAGAAGCAGGCTTCCTGCCGAGCAGGGAGCCCAATGCGGGGCTTGATCCCAGGACCCTGGGATCATGACCTGAGCCGAAGGCAGACGCCTAACTACTGAGCCACCCAGGTGCCCCAACAAGGGTAGATCTTAAAGACATGGTGTTGAGCAAAAGAACTAAGACTCTAAAGAATACATACAGTATAATTTTTTCACATAACATTCAAAGCCAAAATATATGGAATAATAAAACTATAGAGTAAAGCAAAGAAATAATTGCTCGAAAAGTCCAGGTAGTAGTCATTTCTAGGTGGGAAAGAGAATTGTGATTTGGAAGGGACACACAAAGGCTACGGAGAGATGTAGCACTGTTCTGTTTTTTGTAAATATGTATTTGCTTGATAACTGTTCATTAAGTATAAATTTATATCCTATAGGCTTTCTTGTATATATATTTCACAATGAAAATGTTGAAAAAATTAAGTAACTCTACCTAGATATTTGAAATGAGAGAAGTGATGCATATTGGGTTAACTTTTTTGTTTTTATAGACAGGTGTTATTGCACTGTTTGTATGATTCAGACCCTCCTACTCTTCTGGAAACAAGCCGGTATGCTTTCTTCTTTCTATGGATTCCGTATATTCACTCATACAGGAATCTAGGACCATAGAGTTAATTCTTCATTCTTGAATTTCCTTTACTGTTTTTCAAGCATAGTTACTAAGCTTATGTTTATCTTGTAGGTTGTTGCTTACTTGTCTTTCCCAGACAGAAGTAGCCAGTGTCTGGGTTGAAAGAATCTGGGAATATCCAGCTATTTATGATAGCATTTGTTTCATTATGTCAAGTTCAACAAATGGTAAGTCACCATGTAATCTAGGAAAAATTTTTGGTTATATTTAATTGTTAGGAAACCATGTAACTATTTCTGGAGGTTGCTTAAAAAAAGCTTTAAGTCTAAGGTAAGAAAGTATTTTGATTCAAGATATAAAATTTCTTCTTAAGCTACCAGGATACTGACAAGTCTTCATTTAAAAATGAAGGAAGATAAGCAAATTTAAACAAAGGAGGTGAATAAATTGCCCTCTGAATAAGTAATGATTTGGCAAGATTTGGCTTTCTTGGAATAGCTTTAGGAATTTTGATTAACCTTACTGTTTTTAAACTTTGTTTCTCATTTCAATATGTTTTATTATCTGCAGTTGACTTGCTGGTCAAGGTGGGGGAGGTTGTGGACAAGCTTTTTGATTTGGATGAGAAGCTAATGTTGGAATGGATTAGAAATGGGGCTGTTCAGCCTCTGGACCCACCCCAGGAAGATTCTGAAGAGCAGCCAGTGTTTAAGATTGTGCCCTGTGTACTTGAAGCTTCAAAACAAGTACGGTAAGTGAGCTCTTTTGTGCAAAATGTTCTGGGAAAATCCAATTGCTAGAAATATCCTTAGATATAAGTTTTAGTTTCTTTTCAACAGGATGAATAACATCCTGTCAATCTTTGTCAGGTTGGATTCACTACTAATATTTGTGATGACAGTGTGTTTGTTGTTTTCAAAAATCATAATGGTTACAAAGTACCTATTCTAATATTACTTAGCTATAGGCTATTTTCTAGCATGAAGTATGGTTACTGTCTTGAAATTTTCTGTAGTTTTGTGTAATTTAAGTCAAATAGAAAAGATTTTCTTGTGTTTTGTTTTCCATCAAACATTTAACAACTTTTTCAGTTATTGTCAGACATCATTTGTTTTCTTGCTTCTTATGTATATACGTCAGTCTTGGATAAGTGACTGAGTTTTGGGCTCTGATGTCTTGCCAACAGTGATTGCTAGGTGTTGTAGGTCATTGAAACTTTCTTGCTAGTCACTAGAAAATTAACTTGTGAATTGATCTGCTTAATGGTCAGTTGTTTATTCTTTGTGCTTAGTAACCCATAGTAAAGTCTGTGAATTTTATGTCCTTTATCCAAGTGAGGATTAAACTCATCATCTTTCCTCCAAACCTGCTTCTTCACTGTTCTCAATCTCAGTGAATGATGCAATCATTATCCCATTAGGATGATGTGGAAGTCATTACTGACTTTTCCTCCCCATCCTGCTCTTTTTCCATGGCCAGTCAACCTCCCAAAACTTGTTCCTGACTTTTTCTAGGATCCCATCCATGCCATCACCCCGCCACTGTCTCTTGCCTAGATAACTGCAGCATTTTTCCAAACCTGGACTGTAGAGCCATCTTTCCAAAGCACATGCTCATCATCTCACTTTCATGCTTCGGACTCTTCCATGGTTTTCCTTAGGATGAGGTCCAGATTTTTGTTAAAGCGTGGCTTACAAGGATTTAGTGCTTCTCCATCCTTATTGCTTGTTCTGTGTGTTTCAGCCATGTGAAATTTCTTTCATCAACAAAACCAAGCTCTTTTGTCTCCAAGCCTTTGCATATCATGTCTCTTTTATTTCAAACACTTCTCCTGCAGCTCTGTGCATAAACATCATTTGTCTTAAGATACCTTTCCTGACTCTCCAAACTTAAAAATTTTAAGTCTGCTTGCCGTGTGGTCCTCTAGCACCTTGGACTTCTTTTAGTATTACATTCATATCACTTTATCATAATTACCCTTTAATTCTCTTCTCTCCTTTAGACTATAAACTTCATGAAGATAGAAACAGTGTTTTACACATCTCTGTTTTCCCAGCTGCTAACATAGTGCCTGAAAATAGTAGGTACTGAAGTATTTGCTGAACCATCTTTTTTATCGTTCACTAATTTTTTTACTTAATTGTTCGAGGAACTAAGATTGTGGGTTTCTAGGAATCCAAGCTGTTGATCACAAAAATTATGCTTAACATGGTTTTAGTATTCTCAGCTAGGGAGCTAGGGGAGTTGTGAAGTTTTGAGAACGTCGTTACTATCGGTGCTTGCGGCAGTGGGCCTTTCATTCATTATATAAATGTTTTAGTCATTTTTCTTCCTGATGATGCCAGAATGAGGAAGTATCACCTAGAAGGTTTTTGCATTGTTGCTTTTGTGGGACAGGGCGAAAAAAACCTTTTACATCTCGTCCTTGTGTGATGATTATATTCCATAATATTTCTTTGTTTTTTGACTCTTCCCACCTGCTCCCCCCTTGAAATGTAACCTCTGGTGAGCACCGAGTCTTTGTCCTGTTCCCTAATTTATCCTCAGCACCTGGGGCAGTGACTAGTACAAAGTGATAAAAGTATTTGTTGAATGAGTGAATGATTGCAGTCCTACAGAGTTGTTGATTCAGTGCTTTTGCTTTTTGTATGTAGTTCTGAAAATCCAGAAGGGCTTGATGTTTACATGCATATCTTACAGCTGCTTACCACAGTGGACGATGGAATTCAAGCAATTGGTAAGGTGTTTTATAGGGAAGCACTGGAGTTATTCATTGAATTGTTTTCTATTGTTATATGACTATTTGCTTTATCATTTTTATTAAGTACAGTGTCCTGATACTGGAAAAGACACTTGGAATTTACTTTTTGACCTGGTCTGCCATGAATTTTGCCAGTCTGATGATCCACCCATCATACTTCAAGAACAGAAAACAGTGCTGGCTTCTGTTTATTCAGTGTTGTCTGCCATCTATGCATCACAGACTGAACAGGAGTATCTAAAGATAGAAGAAGGCAAGTACCATTTTAGTTCACTAAAGTAAATTGTAGTCTGTCAGAGTTTTTTTTTTAAGATTATTTATTTATTTATTTGACAGAGAGACAGACAGACAGCGAGAGAGGGAACACAAGCAGGGGGAGTGGGAGAGGGAGAAGCAGGCTTCCGGCTGAGCAGGGAGCCTGATGCGGGGCTCGACCCCAGGACCCTGGGATCATGACCAGAGCCAAAGGCAGACGCTTAACCATCTGAGCCACCTAGGCGTCCCTAGTCTGTCAGATTTTAAAGCCCAGGCTTGTGATTATTGTTTATGTGGTTGGCTGGTAGGTTGGTTTCATTCCTTCTTAGTGCTTTTATTCCCTTGATTGTAAAAATATTACATGCTTAATACAAAAAATTTGCAAAATTTATAAAAGGAAGCATAGCACTTGCAATTCCACTATCCAGACATAGTTACTATATACTTATAGGCATATATATCTTTTTTTAATTTTTTTTTATTTTTTAAAGAACTTATTTATTTATTTGACAGAGAGAGATAGCGAGAGCAGGAACACAAGGGGGAGTGGGAGAGGGAGAAGCAGGCTTCTTGCCGAGCAGGGAGCCCGATGTGGGGCTTGACCCCAGGACCCCGGGATCATGACCTGAGCCGAAGGCAGACACTTAACGACTGAGCCACCCAGGCGCCCCCTTTTTTTTTGGGCATATATATCTTTAAGTCCTGCTTTTTAGGCAATTTTTCTCATTTAGAAGTACATATGAATATTTTCCTGTGTAAACAAATGGTTTTTCACAGAGTGATTTTTTTTTTTATGACTACAATTAAATCCAGGCCTATCTAGAATTTATTCAGGTGTTACATGTGAGGTATGATTTTAGCTTTTTTCCAGATGGCTACTCAGTTGTCTTACTAGCATCATTTAGTGAATAAACCAGTTTATCCACACTGATTTGAAATTTTATCATTTACTATGTCCTGAGATTCCCTATATATTTTATTCCCTTCTGTTGCTCTACTCATGTGTCAGTAGCCATAGTTTTTAAATGTTTTAATGTCGAGTAAGGGTAGTTCCCTTTCATCCTAATTTTTCGAGATGGTTTTGACCATTATTCTTGTTTAACACTGAATTAGATTAACAAGTTATGAAAACAAAAACTTCCTGATATTTTTATTGGGATCATGTTAAATTTATAGTGTCCAAGAACATATTACACTTTTCCATTTGTTCAAGTCTTATTTTATGTTTTCAGTAACGTTTTATGATTTTCTTCATAAAGATCTTGCATATCTCTATTAGGCTTATTCCTAGTTATTTTATCTTTTGGGTTGCTGTTGTCTGTGACATCCTTTTTCCATTAATTACTGCTGTTGGAATATATGAAGGTAATTGATTCCTGTATATTAGTATTGCATCTGGTAGTTATCTTACTGAATTTTCTTACTATTTTTATTTATTTATTTATCTCTTACTATTTTTAATAGTTGTTTCTGTGATAATCTTGGGTTTTATCTGATTCCGCTTTGGATTTAAGTTAGATATGTTTAATCATTTTTCTGCCTCTGATTTTTTTCTCTTATTTAATGCGTTGCCTTGTGCCCCTGGTGGTAGAAAACATCCTTACCTTGACTTTATTGGAAATGATTCTAGTGTTTCACCATTAGTCGTGATACTGCTATTTACATTTTACCATTCAAGGAAAATTAATCCATTCCTATTTTATTGAGAGTCTTCAATAAAAAACGTTGAAGGGTGCCATTATGTATATTTACGTTTAAATAAACCAATATACGGTTTGTATATATAGTTCTAACATTTAGGAGGTGCATATTTTTGGTCTAATGGTTACCTTTATAATTACGGCTGCTCTAAAAATAGCATTATAACTGCTCTCCAGTCTTTAAAAAATCATTAAGATCTAATAACTTAGAAGACATATCTCGGTGTTAACAATTCCTTATCAATTGTTCCTGGTACTTTCAAATTACAAATTCAAGCCTCAGGGATTGCATTCCTGAATTATATTTTAAAATATCATTTTAGGGGCGCCTGGGTGGCTCAGTTGGTTAAGCGACTGCCTTCGGCTCAGGTCATGATCCTGGAGTCCCCGGATCGAGTCCCGCATCGGGCTCCCTGCTAGGCAGGGAGCCTCCTTCTCCCTCTGACCCTCCCCCCTCTCTTGTACTCGCTCTCTCAAATAAATAAATAAAATCTTAAAAAAAAAATAAAGTATTTTAACTTTTTTCTTCGAGAGCAGTAATATTGTATAGGATCTCCTTTCTTGTGTTTCATAATTTTAATTTTCTTCACTAAAAAAACCAACTCTCTTTATTCTCATTCCCCTCGTTTTGCCCCTCTCTTTCTGACGTCTGCTTGCCTTTCTGTCCTCCTTTGTGTTTTGAGCGGTGTCCTCCCTCCTTTGTGCTACCGCCAGCTTTGCCTTCATTTCGATGGTGGCTTGAATTTTTCTTTTAACGTCTTCTTGGGTTCTGCCAGCTCAGGTTTCCTCTCCCGTTGTCATTCATTTCTTAGTCTGAGCTCTTCTGTGTCTGCTTGGTGCTTGCTTACATGTTGTTTTAAAACTTATGGCTAAATATTATCTTAATATGCATAAGCTTCATGTCAGCTTCTTTTGGTGAGTATTCTTCATCTTTTTTTTTCTCTTGTTCCTTCTTTTCTTTTTTCTTTTAAGTGTCTTTGTGTTGCTCCTATGCTGGTTTCCTTTTGCTGACTCACCTTTGAATGACTTGAGTTTTTTCTGGACTAGCCATTTGCAGGAAGTTCATAGAGCAGCTAAGGCTGTCTTTTAGGCTAATAGGAGTTGGGTCTGTGAGCCTTCCAGCTCTTTTTACCAGGTGACACATGGCTGTGGTGAAGTCTTTCCTTTCCCCTTGCCATTTGCTTCCTGCAAATATGTCCTGTCTACGGGATTGCTCATTTACCTCCTCTTCCTCTGAGTCTTAGGACCCCCAGGGGAGCTCCAGCTGCTGCTATCTTGCACATTCCATTCCTGCTCTTGCAAACAAGGGATTCTGGATTTGCACCTCAGTGTATGTGCTTTACCTTAAAGAAATGGACTTTTCTGGCCCTTTCTCAGACATGCAGCCTCTGGCATCTTTCCATCACTTCCTCCTCCACCTTCTGCTTCATTGATATTACTTTGACACGGTTTCCACTCACCTTGTGTTTCAGGTTTCTGCTGTCTCCTAATTTGATCTAAGCTGACATTTGTTTTTTGTTGCTTATTTTTTAATTTTTTTTTTTTTTCTGGTGATTTCTGAAAGGAAAAGGGGAGGAAATGCTGACTTTGAGCCCCGATGCTCTTTCTAACCTCCTTGTATATATGTGCTTTCTGTTGAAAACCATGAGTTTTTATTTGCAATATTAGGAACACATCTTTCTTGATGTTTTCTTTATTATTTATTTATTTTTTTAATTTTATTTTATTATGTTATGTTAATCACCATACAGCACATCACTAGTTTTTGATGTAGTGTCCCATGAGTCATTGTTTGCGTATAACACCCGGTGTTGCATTCAATACGTGCCCTCTTTAATACCCATCACTAGGCTAACCCCTCCCCCCACCCCCCTACCCTCTAGAACCCTCAGTTTGTTTCTCAGAGTCTATAGTCTCTCATGGTTCGTCTCCCCCTCTGATAACCCCTTCATTTTTCCCTTCTTACTATCTTTTTTTTTTAAACATATAATGTATTGTTTGTTTTAGAGGTACAGGTCTGTGATTCAACAGTCTTACACAATTCACAGCGCTCACCATAGCACATACCCTCCCCAGTGTCTATCACCCAGGCCCCCCCATCCCTCCCACCCCCCCCCCACTCCAGCAACCCTCAGTTTGTTTCCTGAGATTAAGAATTCCTCATATCAGTGAGATCATATGATGCATGTCTTTCTCTGATTGACTCATTTCGCTTAGCATAATACCCTCTAGTTCCATCCACATTGTTGCAAATGGCAAGATTTCGTGTTTTTTTTTTTTTTGATGGCTGCATAATATTCCATTGTATATATATATCACATCTTCTTTATCCATTCATCTGTTGATGGACATCTAGGCTCTTTCCATAGTTTGACTATTGTGGACATTGCTGCTATAAACATTTGGGTGCACGTACCCCTTCGTATCACTACATTTGTATCCTTGGGGTAAATACCCAGTACTGCAATTGCTGGGTTGTAGGGTAACTCTATTTTCAACTTTTTGAGGAACCTCCATACTGTTTTCCAGAGTGGCTGCACCAGCTTGCATTCCCACCAACAGTGTAGGAGGGTTCCCCTTTCTCCGCATCCTCGCCAACATCTCTCGTTTCCTGACTTGTTAATGAGGTGGTATCTCATTGAGGTTTTGATTTGGATTTCCCTGATGCCAAGCGATGTTGAGCATTTTTGCATGTGTCTGTTGGTCATTTGGATGTCTAATTTGCAGAAATGTCTGTTCATGTCTTCTGCCCATTTCTTGATTGGATTATTTTTCTTTGGGTGTTGAGTTTGATAAGTTCTTTATAGATTTTGGATACTAGCCCTTTATCTGATATGTCATTTGCAAATATCTTCTCCCATTCAGTGGGTTGTCTTTTGGTTTTGTTGACTGTTTCCTTTGCTGTGCAAAAGCTTTTTATCTTGGTGAAGTCCTAGTAGTTAATTTTGCCCTTGCTTCCTTAGCCTTTGACGATGTTTCTAGGAAGAATTTGCTTCAGCTGAGGTCGAAGAGGTTGCTGCCTGTGTTCTCCTCTAGGATTTTGATGGACTCCTATTTCAACATTTAGGTCTTTCAGCCATTTTGAGTCTATTTTTGTGTGTGTTGTAAGGAAATGGTCCAGTTTCATTCTTCTGTATGTGGCTGTCCAATTTTCCCAACACCATTTGTTGAAGAGACAGTCTTTTTTCCATTGGACATTCTTCCCTGCTTTGTCAAAGATTAGTTGACATAGAGTTGAGGGTCCATTTCTGGGCTCTCTGTTCTGTTCCATTGATCTATGTGTCTGTTTTTGTGCCAG